CGAGTAATCAATTGTTCAAAAAACTATAAGTACACGCAAGAATGATAGCAAAGCGAAAGCAACAATGAACGCCTCTAGCACACTGAAATCCCTCGTTTTCGTACACTAAATAAAAAAACACTAATATGTAGTCCAATTACAGAGAAAAGCTTTTCAACGCAGGTGGACTGAGCTTTCGTTCTAACTAACCACAACCACGAAGTCAACACAGGCGTCATTTACTTCTGATAGCCGTGATGGATTATCCAGGGTAAACTAGGTCCAATATCTTTGAGGTCACCGATGACACCAATCTTTATGAGCCTTCCCCGTATTCAATGTTATGTCTCAAATCTACACCGGTTACGTTCTTATGTGCACAAATTAGGTAATTTAAGGTCTAACGTCCGCACAGTTTACATTTATGCTTTTCAACGTGTTTAACCAGTCTTGCGCACAGCTCTTCAGTTTCTTAAGTCGGCCTCTTACAGAAAGATTACAGAATGTTAAGATGCGGATCCGTCACTATTAAAAGAGCATTTTTAGTTCCATTGAAGGATCTGTTGACAAAGTTTGTGCACCTGAAAACGTTGCACGAAAAAATTCTTCCACCCTTTACACAATGATTTATTTTCCTATAGCTATGATTTATGCATAAGATCACAAGTCCGGTATTTTCCAGCGAGCATAAAAGACTACATATATTTGAAGGCTTTAGATTGGACACGGATTTTGTGCAACAGACCTCTCGTTGAATGCTATTCACTTGAAAATTCTGAAGTTATATTTAATGATGTAGTTAATATCCACCTATGGGATCGTTTGCGTTAGTTTTGGCTGACTGGGGACCCCGAGATGATGGTCACCGATGATTAGAGACACTGAGTGATATGGCTGGATGTCGCAAACAGAGGCGCTCATGTATCTACTCATCATTCTCTTAAAATCAGTCTATGTAAATTCGATATCTTACACTTGAATTTATTCTCAATATCATAGTGTTCATTCTGCTCTTTTATCCAAATGGGCAACCAAAACCAGCACAAGAAAGTGAATGGTTGATGGTTGTAAGAACTAAACTGAGCTGAACTGAAATCTCTGCGAATGCCCGGAATGATCATAACGATATTGGAAAAATAGTTACGAAGACACCTGTCTTAACAAGCAAAACGCAAACAGAGCAGTGATGCATCAGATCCTCAATGCTGATCCAACTGCTAAAGTGGATTTCTAGTGAGTGTAAAACGAACGGTGTTGATCACTTACCCGACCGTGGTGCACACAATCCACTGGTTGTGAACTAACGCGTTGGACAAGAGGTGATAGATAGCTAACAGGCACGGGAGCCTTTGGGGCACTAAGCTCGGCGGTACAGTTCAATTCCATGCAGAATGGAATCGGAGTTTGATCAGATTCGGCAAAACGCCCAGATATAGGCGTTTGAGATGCCTGGTTGAGATTGGACGCATAAAGACGTTGATGTCTTGGAACTTCTGGACAACCAGCTACGGAAACAGTTGGGCTTGGGGGTTCGGCCAGGTTGGGGTGAAATTTCGGAAATAAACGCTGCGAAACATTCAGGGTTGAACCATCACCTGGCCAAATGCGCAGAGCACGAGGACCGTGACCAACTCGTAAGATATCACCCG